AATAAACCGAGTAAATAAAAAAACTTTATTATAAGTAGTAACTATAGTAAAAAATAGTACGCTAATGATAAACCGAGTGATAAACATTTTATTTTTTATCAGTAGCGTACCATTTTTTTTGAAAAAATTACCCGTTGTGTATCACATCTACGCGACTGATTGAAACTAAAACCTCTTCTTTTTACATTTAAAGTGTCTCTGTTAGGTAGACTCCTATAATAAAATTTTATAACGATATCTTCAACTATTAAAAAACTATTAAAGAATATCTGTATCTTGCGTACACCCTGTATCTTGCGTAAGAGGCATTTCCGACCCATAGTGTGCTATATCAAAATTAATATTTCGACGTCCCCTGTTTATTCCCCGAAAGCATGACCGACTTACAGAAATCACCTTGTATACTTTAGTTTGGCACTTATACAAATTTCCTACTTTTTTTATTATATGAGCTACAGATGCATGGGCCCGTATTCTGTAACTTTGAAAACGCTAAGCGCTTTTAGACGCTCAGCGTATATGACGTTAATTTTCGCTGAGCGCGCACTTAATTAACGATTTCGGTATTCTCGTCTGACGCGCTTAGCGTCTTTACTGATTGCGCTGAGCGCTTTGAAAACGGTTGCCTTAAAGGATCGTTTTGCTTGTCGAATTGCCAGTGAAAATCGAAAAAATTGTGATTTTGTGCGTTATCTTGCTCTTTAGTGAAAATTACTACTTCTTCTACATGCTTCTTCTATAAATTCCTCAATAAGTAATTGATAATTTACGACTTGGCAGCTATAAATATTGTTCAAAACATCGAAAGTGCTGAGAAGCATCTTCAACACTTCCCTCGTATAATAAGAATAACGACATATCCATAGAAAAACAGCTTGACATAACTCATCAATAGGTTATGAAATTCACGTAACATTGACATTTTTCATTGTTACATCCGTCAGTTATCAACTTTTGACTATTACCTACATTAGAAATTGTGATGTTGCCAATATGTGCTCAACGCGTATCCAGAACACGATTCGCATGGCAACGAGAATACCAAAATCGACTACCTTGCGTTTCGCTGATCGAATACTTGCGCTCACCGCTTTGAAAGCGTAACGTTTTTATGTCAAAGTTACAGAATATGGGCCCTGACGCACTTGTGCCTGGCTCGAAGGAAAAACTTTGAACCGCAGCAACCCCTATTTGCGGCAACTTTTTCATAGGCATCTTTACAACATCATGCACAGAATAAATATAGCTTTAATTTGACATATGATGATAATCATGATAAATGATTATTTATTAATTAATCATAGTTGCGACAACTTTTTGATAGGCACCTTGTGAAAAGTGTACTCTCCTATTCATAAGTATGTATATGTAAAAAATTGTTTTGATTAAAAATACGATGAGCGTAACAATCAGGCAGACCATGACAATATCCTTCTAGATTTTAGTACCTCAACAAGACTATTTGTCGAATAAATAAGAAATATCATAAAATAAGCTAAGAAAAGCACAAAAAATCCGCAAAATTTTAAATCAAATTCAAATGTGTCAATTGAAACATCATACAGAACTGCCAAAAATTTAGAGTGCTTCTCTAATGCATGAAAAAATAATAATGAACTCCTTCCTTATAGTCTCTTTATTCAAAGGAAAAACGAACTAAAGTTTCTACATACCTGATATGAAAATTGTACTAAATTCTTAAATAGAATAAGCAATATTATTTTAACTAACATTTAAGTTCACTGGATATATTTAGATAAATAGATAAATATTTCTTTTAAGCTTTATGTGTGTTATGTATAGGATACAATAACAATATAACTTATGCCAAGCATCATCGTTTTTTAATACCTTGCCAAATAACACAAATATAAGTTTTATGATTTTGCCGTAGTTTTTTAAGTTAAAACGGCTATATCAAGAGATATAAATAGCAACTAATAATCAAACTTGTATAATCTAATAAGTAACATCTGTTAAGAATTCATTGTTTATACTGGAGGATCAATTTGTATACTTTTATTCTCTCATCGTATTTTTCGGGTTTATTTTCCATTACTATAGATATATCATCCAAAATATTGCAATATTTTTATTGTATTTTCTTCTTTTATTAATAAATTCTCACAATATTTTAATAAATAATTCTAACCACCTGCTATTTAACATTTAGGTACATCTGTTATATTAGAGAAAATCTATTAAACAAATATAATTCGCCTTTTATGATAGGATAAGATAATGATTATATTATCAAGATAATCAATATTACATAAAATTGAGTTAGTTATATTTTTTAAGCTAAAGTGATGTGAGAAAAAACATGACAATGGAAAATTTCCAAAAAAATCTTTGAGCCTTGAACAAGTGCAAATATTTTCAGGGCTGCGGCTGGTAGAATCTCGATAAAAGAAACAATTTCTCATTACCGTTTTTCAAATAAGTTCAATAAGTTCTTTGTATGTTGTTCCGAGGTATTTTATTTTGAAAATTAAAAAAATGAGTCTTGCTTATATTTTGAGAACCACTCCATCTTTTTGGGGTGTTCTTTCTTGTATATTTAATTTACTACTTATGTTGCCTTATTATCATGAAATTATGTTTTTTAATTAAAAAATAAAAGAAATTCCAAATTTTCAAAAAAGTTGTTTGGGAAAAACCCTCATAGACGTGTTTCTGGGGTCGAAATATACTACCCTTAAAAATATTTGCACTTAGAATAAGGTATTAGATAGAAGGTAATTAAATAAAACGGTAATTATATAATTAATGCAAACGACATAGCTAGAAAAGAAGCGAAAATTTTACTAACTGGACCAGAACCGTTCTGTTTCTCAAGTGGAAACCAACTTAAAGCGGGACTTAAGAACCTGGAAGTAGAGGTGGGAATTCCAGTTACTTGGGAGGAACTAGTTCCTTAGTTCTAGTTCCTCCAGAGGAATAGTTCCTTGAACTAGATCTTTAGTTTACAACATTTCCCGACTAACATTGACATCCCCGTTGCTTGCTAATGGGTTTCGTTGCCAGTCAGAACTATTCACAGTATGATCGGTATAATTTTTATAATGTACGAAATATAACGAGACATGTAATTGCATATGTTAAAAACATATATGTAGATAAAAAAAATTGAAAAAAAACTCAAATCAGAGTTTAAAAAACTATATCACAAATTAATTGGAGCAAATAATATGAAAATTTTACGAAAAATTGCATTTTTCCTCACTTCAAGCTTTTTCTTTTTGTTTAAAAATTCAGAATATCTACTTCGTTTTATAAGATATTTCTTAATTTTAGGGACATAAATTGAAACATTCCCATAAAATATTCAAAGAACAAACTAAAAATCAAAAATAGTATCCACGACAATCTTCAGTGGTAATTACGCCGGCTGTGGCAATAGACAAGGTCGAATCCATCGTCGTCGCCTTGTATTATATCTCGGATCTGCCGACTGAATAGATTCTCGTGAACTAGTCTTTTAATTAGTTCCTCTCGGTCCTTTCGGTCCGGATCCGGTAACATACGGCTGGAACTCTCCACTCCTGCCTAGAATCGGACCACGATCGCGCTGGCCGATCCGTCGCCGCGCCGTCGCATATTATTATATATCGTCATAGTCTCGATCCCGGAGTAGGTTCTGAGGAATTAGTTCTTTGAGTTCCTCTCATTCCGGGGTCAGAATACTGGAGCTAGTTCGTTCACGAACTACACATATCTCTACCTGGAAGACTACATCCGTAACCTGTCTCCTCAATAAATACCTCAGTAGGTTGAAGTTAAGAAACATCGGCGAATGCAGATTCTGTTGGAAAAATGGGAAAACACTAGAACACATCATCACACAATATATCTACAGGGTGTTTCAAAAAACATGTGCCATCTCTCGTGTGGTGATTCCTCACGTATAAATAAAATTTATATTTCATATCAACATAGGTCCGATTCTGCTTTGTTTCGTAGCTACAAGGTGTCAAAGTCTTAATATTTTTCTCTTTAATATAATTTTCTTCCAAGTGCTTTTAGTGTTTCGAATGAAATTTTGAGGGTAAATGTTACTATAAATGCGACATATTTTAAAGCTGAAAAAGTGTCGACATATTCACCAGGGACGTGCATATGGGTTATTACTGGAATATTTTTCTAAAAAAAGCATGTACGCCACTGACTTTTTTCTCTTGTTAGCGAAATAGTGTAAGCAGTTTAATGCCGATTAAAATTTGTCTTTTGATATTTTGTCGACTTCGGCCTCCTTGATGAGATAAACGCAATTTTATTAATTTACCTTGATCAAAGCCTAATAGCAACCTTTAAAAAAATGTATCATTAACTTGCGAAAGTTTCAAATAAGTACTCATTGATTCTTCATCAAAAAATATGAGAAAAAGTTCTTATAAACATGGGGTATGGAAATGCATAGTTTCAGAGTTACAGGATGTTAAAACTTTTTAAAATTAGGTTTTTTGTAATTAATAAGTACCATATTTTTTATTTGAAATTGCTGTAGGTGTAGGTTGGACTAATAGTAATAATATCTAATAGTAATAATATTTAATAATAAATTAGGTAAAATATATAATTTATTAATTTTATTTTTATTTTATTAACTGTAATTAATAAAATTGCGTTTATCTCATCAAGGAGGCCGAATTCGACAAAATATCAAGAGATAACTTTTAATTGGCATTAAAAGGCCTACATAATTTTGATATCAAAAGAAAAAACTCAGTGGCGTACATGTTTTTTTTTTTTGAAAATATTCCAGTGATAATCCATATACACGTCCCTGATAAACTTAACGACCATTTTGGTTGTTTGTGATTTTATAAAAATCAACTTCTTTTAGATTTATGTTTCAGTGGAGAAATACTTTTGTATTTCGACACAGTATTGTGACCAATATTTTTAGACTGATCTTATTGATAAAAACTATAAGCTTCAGAAACAAATAGTTTTTCTAATACAATATCATTTCATGTGACTTTTCCTTTATGTTTCAGGTCAAGGTGACCGTTCGCAATCGAACAGCGAACCGAAACTGACCGAAGATTCCACGCCCGACGTTTCGCCGAACATCCGTCGGAAGGGTTCGCAAAGACGCGGTACTTCGGTGTACCAAAGGAAATCGACCGCTTTCCTTGACGTGCCGGAAAATAAGAAATCGGCCAGCCACAGTAACACGGAGGGTGAGGAGGACGAGGATAGCTACAGGCTGAGGAGTTTCAGTTTCACTTCGAAAGGTGAGATTATTAGAATTAATTATGGAATCGCTCGAGTATTCAAATCCTCGGTATGTCTCGAGGATTTTTGCCGATCCTCGAGGATCACTCGATACGCAAGAAACAGCGTAACAACATAACATGTGCGACGTACCGTAGAGGTGGAAATTCTAGTTACTTGGGAGGATCTAGTTCCTTAGTTCTAGTTCCTTAAATTAGGTCTTTAGTTCACGTTAGTTCCCGATTAACATTGACATTCCCCTTGCTTGCTCATAGATTTCATTATAAGTTAGAACTATTTATAGTATGATCTGTATAATTTTTATAATGTACGAAATATAACGAGACGTATAAATGCGTATATTAAAAATATCTAGGCAAGTTTTATTGTAGATAAATACAAAAAATTAAATTATAAACTAAAATCAGATTTTAAAAAACTATATCACAAATCAAAAGGAGCAAATACTAAAATATTTAATACTGACACATGTAGGTGAAGCTAAATGAATATGAAGGCAAAGCTTTTTTTCTCGCTTTTTGTTTTTGTTTAAAAGTCAGAATATCTATACTTTTTGTTTTTGTTTAAAAGTCACAATATCTATTCTCTTATCTACTTTTATAAGATATTTCTTAATTTGAGGGAGCTAAAGTGAAACATTCCAATAAAATATTCTAAGAACAAACTAGAAATTAAAAACAGTATCCACGACAATTTTCCATAGCCGGAGTATGCCGGCCGGATCCGTCGTCGCCTTGTATTATATATTGTAACTACGGACTGAATAGATTCCGGTGAACTAGTCTTTCAATAATTAGATCCTTTAGTTCCTCCCTATCCTTTCGGCCCGCAACCGGCAACATACGGCTGGCAGTTATACCGCTCCCCGTCTAGCATCGGTCTACGATCGCGCTACCCGGTCCGTCCGTAAACGAGTCTTTTATTTAGTTCATCTAGTTCCTATCGGTCCTTTCGGTCCGGGACCGATAACATATGACTGGCACTCCCCACTCTCGCCAAGCATCGGGCTACGATCGCGCTGGCCGATCCGTCGCCGCCGCATATTATTGTATCTCGATCACAGTATAGGTCCTCGGAATAGGTTCTGTAGAACTAGTCTTTTAAGAAACTGGGAACTATATAGTTTCTTTCGTTCCGGGGTCAGAATAGTCCACTGGAATTAGTCCGTTCACGTACTACACACTTTTAGCGTACCATGTTCTCGAGAATACATAGTCCAAGAAAATATAGGCTTTCAAATACGAAAAAAACTTGAATTTTTGGATTTTGAAGTTACTTTGACAAATCTAAAAACGAACTGTAAAAGATTAAAAAAAAATAAAAATACAAATATAAAAACACATATATTTTATGGAGAATTTGACGCTTTGCAACTTTTATTTGAATTTTTTCTTTCTAATCCTGGTCACTTTCCCAGAATTTAAAAAAAATACGGGAAAAATTTGATTCCCCTTCTCGCGGGTCTTCACATTCGCGAGTTCTCCACTATATAATAGGAAATATCATGAGCAGTTCTTTGATATGCTCATAAAATTAAGCTTTCAATTCCAATAAAGGAACTCTTCACTCAATAAAAAATAGCAATTGATAGGGATACATCTTTATGAACTTTTATAGACTTCTATTTTTATGACCTATAAACTACGTTATTACATTTGAAAATAAGCGGCTTATTTTGAGCTTTCAAGTAGCAAGTCGCCCGCAGTATGCGATTGAGGCTTAAAACCTTGCTAATACTTGCTATTACTCGGGAAAGCGCAAACTATTGCTTTATGAAATAAAATATTTTCTTTCTCAAACTTATTTTTAAATTTTACGACATGGTATCAAAGTTAATTTATGAGGATCATAAATTTTATTTATTTTCATATCATATAGCAAGCACTTTTGACATTTCTTATCCTTTTGTAATGCGATATGACTTTAAAATTAATAAGTATAAAAGTTTTAATAACGAAATGCTTTTATAAAATTTTTAGTGGTTTACTATGAAATTTGTATTATCGTATGTATAATGGATGCCAGAGAGATTTTTACATAATAATATTAATAATATATGTGCCACAAAGCCATAAAGAGTTAAGGCTATAATTTTTAATTAAAACACCAGTTTAATGCACAATTTACGTAACCACGATACTCATCTATTTATAGAGAATGTATTTTTAAAGAAAAGAGAAGGAATTCTATGAAAAATTGCTCAAAATGAACAAATATCGCTATTTCAAAAAACATTTCCATATAAAGGTAGCCACACACATACAGTTTTTCGTCAGGGCAATACTGTGCAGTTGCTGCCTTGGGGATTTTGTTTAAATGCGGATGACCAACGCACTTACTGATATACATCAGTTTGTGACTTGCATATATATCAATGGAGTTTACCGACAATGATACTTTAATGATAATTGTTTGGCGTCATTTGTATACGTAATCTATTAACGCTTCAGACTTGAGAGTCTAGGGTTTTTGAAGTAAAACTTCTTAACGCGCGTTGGGAGTAAAAATTGAAGACACTTTACGGCCTTGACAGGCGAGCTAGCGAGAAAAAAGTGGTAAGGGTCGCACGATCACAAAAACACCAAAAAATATTTTATAAAAAAAAGGTTTTATATAAAGTTGGTGATAGGATTGCCGTATCATCTGCATATCTTATATTGTTAAATGGAACTCCGTTAATGTTAATTCCTCCACTTTCTCCATCCAGGGCCATTTGAAATATCTTTTCGACGTATATATTAGAAAGTATTAGTGACAGTATACTGCACTGGCGGACTCCTTTATACACATTGAAGGTGTCTGTGGATAAATTTTTGTTAACTCTTATCTCCGCGGTTTGGTTCCAATATAGTTCCTGTATGATTCTAATGTCTTTGGCGTCTATTCCTTCCTCTCCTATGTTTTGGAGAATATCGTGTTTATCGTTGTCGAAAGCCTTCTGATAATCTATGAAGCACACAAAGACATCTTGGCGTTGATCATAACATTTAAAGACATTGGCGTTGATCAATACATATTAAATTGTGCAAACTGGTCTGCATAGTCAGAATGTGCTAAAGAACTGCGCGTCAGTGGAGGCTTTTACCAACGTTGCCAATTATTCCCAGTCCATTTACCTTTCCGGAAATCCTTTTTTTTTAGCCATATTACATAGCTTTCATTTAGAATTTGCAACAAAATTGATCTTATCTCGATAGTTTTAAACGACTCCAAATAAAACATTTTTTTAATCCTGTATTTTTTTAATCTTGATTTTATTATCGTATACCGTATACTGGTTCATATTACCGTATATGAACGGTAATTACCATACGGCAATTGGCAACACTAGCTTTTACACACTTATTTCTTAACCGTTGAGAAATAGTTTATTAAGTTTTGGAGTGCGCAGTCCAAACTTGAGGGAAAACTGTATGTGTGTGGCTACCTTAACCATTTTTTGTGAACTAAGCAAAGTATTAAAAAATCGGCCTTGAGAGTTTTCTTTGAAACTTTTTCAATTCTTAAAATTTTCTTTATAAATTTTACGTTAACTTCCGGATATTTCATAAATTACGTCTAAAAATAAGAAATAGTATTTTGAGGGTTATAACTGAAACTTGTTTTTCAAAAATGCGTTTATCTTTTTAATTACAATTATCATCATCATCATCATTTTCAGCTTATTCAACCATTTCCAATTATGGTGTAGCCTCCCTCACATATTTAGATACTCTCTTTGTAGTTAGGCCCATTGTTGTCTATTGTTGGCTATGCGAGCCCAAGTTATCCCTGCTAATTTCCTAATATCATGGTCCCATCTCAGGTTCGGTCTTCCTCTAGGTCTATTAATTCCTCGTGGGTATCATGCTATTATTTTTGTGGTGTCTGTTCTTCTTGCCAGTTGTCCTGCCCATTGCCATTTGAGGGATTTGACTCTGTGGATAACATCTATTACCTGGGTCTTTTGTCGTATCCAGTATATTCTTTTACAGTCTCTCTTGGTTATTCCCAGCATATTTCGTTCCATTGAGCCTGTGCGACCTGCAGTTTCCTTATGATGTCCGTTTTAAGTATCCCGGCTTCGTATGCATAGGTCATCACTAGTAGTACACATTGGTCGAATACTTTCTTCTTTAGATAGAGTGGCATTCTAGATTTGATTATGATTGAGTTTCTTCCATAAGTACTCCATGCTAACTGAATGCTTCTGTTGATTTCTGGTAGTAGAGATTCCGAGGTGTGTTATTAGTTGTCCCAAATATATATATTCTTCTACCATCTCAGGTCTTAGAATGTCTTTATTAGCTGTATTATTCATTACAATAATTATACTTTTCAAGAATTAATCGTTTAAATCAAATAATAATAATAACTATAACACTAATAATAATTATTCATTGAAAAGGAAATGTGTGTAAACAGTATTTTAGAACTTTCTCTAATTAAAAAACAATAATTCTCCTATATTCTTTATTATTTTAAACTAAAACTAAATTAATTTAAAATTAGTTTATAAATATACAAAAAATAACCCTAGTGCAACGTTTTACGGCTATTTCTTCGCTAAATTGGTAAAAAATCGTTTAAAATCCACCTTAAACAAAATTTTCCTTTTAGCCGTTGACGTTTAAAGCGGGGTTTTCCCGCAACGGTGTTTGGCCAGACACGAGGTGAAAATCATAAAAAAAAGGCGCGAGAAGCGTCAGAACTATCTCGCTTGGCGAAAAATTACGGCGATCACGTGAGTTTCCCGACCGAAGCCGGCTAGAAAGCGGAAAAACTAATTAGGTTTTCGTCTCCGGGTCGTGGATTCGTCCTACTTAACGTTTTTTCTTAATTTGTACTACTTAGTTATTTTTTGAAGTTTATAAAAGCTCGAAAGAGCTGAAGCTTTTTGCTTTAACATCAAATATTAATGTTTCGATCACTAGGTATCTGAAATAATTTTGATTTAAAGTGATAGAAAATGAAGGGTCCAGGAGAGAAACATGATAGGCGATAATTTCATAATTTTAGG